ACTCAAAGACCCGGCATCGACTATCAGGAAACCTTCGCCCCTACCCCGAGGCCTGAAACGGGTAGGATTTTGTTAGTAATAGCCCATTACCTTAAATGGTACAGATGTCAAGGTGATGTTCCAACAGCCTTCCTCAATCCAGACCTCAAAATTGATCTATACATGGAGTTACCAAAAGGATTTAAAGAGGGAAATCATGTCATCCGCCTAAGGAAAGGCCTTTACGGCCTCAAACAAGCAGCAGCCCTCTGGTACGATGACGCAAGAGCAACCCTAGCAACACTTGGCCTTCATCCAACAACATCAGACGTGTGCTTATATTCAAATGCGCAAAATGATCTATTTGTACTCCTACATGTAGATGACTTTCAAGTCATAGGACCAAACAATACAAAAATAGAATTATTAATGCGAGCATTAAACAAAAAATATAACCTCAAACGCGTCAACACAAACTTATTTCTTGGCATACACATCAAGGAAAATGAAAATAAACTCGAACTTTCTCAGGGCCAATACGTCCGCACCCTTCTAAAGCGACATGGATTAGATGACTGTAAGCCAGCAAATACACCAATAGAAAGGCTAATTGAACCCAACGGTTCTCAATGTTCAAGGCAATCACAGCTAGAGTACAATTCGATCATCGGAGGTCTCCAATACCTAGCAAATAACACACGTCCTGACATTGCCTTCGCTGTAAATCACCTTGCAAGATTCTTAAACAATCCATCCGCAGAGCACATCTCAGCTGCCCGCCGCATCCTTCGCTACATAGCCAAACATCCGGATAAAGGCATCACATTTACCAGAAGCAACGAGAAACCAATCCTCAAGGCATACTCAGATGCAGATTTTGCAGCCGATCCCTCGACCAGTCGGTCGACATCCGGGACATTAATCAGGCTTGCATCTGGACCCATCTTCTGGAAATCACATTTGCAGCGAGAAGTAGTTCTCTCAACAACAGAAGCAGAGTATCTTGCAGCCACAGAGACCTGTCGACAACTGCAATGGATCAAATCTCTATTTGAAGAACTCAAACTCACAAAGCTCATAGAAGGAACGAAATGTACCAACCTGTACGTCGACAACCAATCAGCACTGTCTCTGATCAAAAACCATGATAACCATAAGCGATCCAAACACATAGCACTGAGGAACCACTACTGCAGAGAACAGTACAAAAATGGTCGCATAAAAGTCACATATATTCCATCATTAGACCAACTAGCAGATCCACTAACAAAAGCCAAAACCCAAACACAAATCCACTGAGAAACAGTCACTTCCGTGTCACAATCGCTCTGAGCCAGCACATCGACAGAGGGAGTGTTGTAATCCTAGTCCGTGCTAACATAACGTAGAGACGTGCATGGTCTAGGTCATGGATTAATATAGTCGCTGTGCCTACACAATTGAGGTAAGCTACGTAGTGGTTGTAGAGATCTGTTGAGGATCAGGATGTTGAGAAGTGATAGCAGTGCACGGACCAGCTTCTCATGTATTTAGACAGGTGGTCAGGCACTGCCCCCAAAAGTGTCCAATACAGATCACACACTTTATCCATTATACTTTAGCAAATAATAATCCCTTCTAAAGTCTACAACTCAGTTCTCTAGCATTATATCACAACTGTCTCTAAGTCTATCCCAAGAATATCTCCAGTGCTCATCATTCATAACAAAAAGTTGTTGTGTTTTGCCGGATTCGAACCAGCGATCTGCTGTCTCAAGTGGGATATGTGCCCAAGCTATCCAGACTCTACTTGGCAGACCGGCCAAGACGATGTACCGTCACACCATCCAACCATGGCGATGTTTATAGTGTCGCCTGCACTCTCGCAACCGAAGTCTTCGCACACGCATAAAGCTAAGTTCGTGTTGTGAATATCGTGAGCATGACTTGTAAATGACTATTTACGACAGATACAAGGTCTATAATAGATATCTTGGCAGGGGCGTCAAACCACCACGCATGACGAGTTTGAGGCAGAGTCATATATGCTTGGGTGAAGCATCCGGGTCAGGAAGTCGCAGCCAAGGAGTATCATACATACTTAGCATTGTGTCATAGTTGTGAACCTAGGGTCTAGTGATACGTAGGCAACGGGAGATGTTAATGAGTCAATGAGTCTCAGTTTACAATAAAGTAGTACTGGCGTAGTCATGTGGGATAAAGGCTAGCACAAGAGACTTGTATATGATGTAGCGATATCTTTATGTTCAGATAGTAGTAACAACAATAATAAGCAAGCAATCAATCGAATATTATCGGGATTCATTATTCATATCATTCTAGTATCATCAATTACACTATAATATTCCAATAGTTCGTAAAACTCATTGTCAGAATTACAAATTTCACGCCCATCGAAGTTATATTCATTCTCTACATCATCTTCTAAACTTGTCCTGATTCTACTCACGCCCATTTCAAAGAGCTGTCTCCCAGATTTGTGCGCCACGCTTTGTTTCCTCAATCGGGTGTAAATATCGGCTTGGGCGTGTATTGGTGACCAGCTGAGGCCAGAGAAAGTCGATGAGAGGTATGGTCATTGGAATGGGGATGGGGATGTACAAAGTCGTACTCGTAGATTTGATGAGACTAAGGTAGGATTCGATCTCTTTGGGAGTGAAAATTTGATGTGGTAGAGTATTTTGAATCATTGCCTCGTGGACCAACTTGTCCGATATTGCGAAATTTGACTGAACTTGTCTCAGGGAGAATATTTCACTCACAGATTCGCAGATGATGTCGCATACAGGTATTCATTCTCGCCCTCCGGATCCACTAATAGAGTACTAAAAATTAGCTAGTTGAAGGCACGGTTCAATTTGAATTTGAAATCTTTTACGTGACAGGAAGAACCTAACATCTATTTAGACGTGACACGGGTAGATGGGCTCTGAAAGCCCATTGCTAAATACATGACCGGCAGTGGAGCCAACAGCGACAAAAGAAAAGAAAAAATGAACAGAATATGTCTGAGTAACGGTGCCCTGCGCCGCATCCCTATCTTCCACACCCATCTCCTCTGGGGTCAGAAACAATCTCTGGGTGGTCACCTCCCTTCATGTTCATTCTTCGACAGACTGTAACATCTGCTTGTAGTTGAGAATTGAATGAACTTCTGCCATCCCTTCTCCACTATCATTTACCTGGCCCCAGGTGGGGCCATTTTCTCATAGCTTCTCCAACGTAGCAAAGCAGGTCGGCACTCTGAAAAATGTCCGGGCCTTTTCTCTCGGCCGCAAACCCATTTCAGATCTTCATTTTCGGGGTTGAAACGTCGATGGTAGTCGGCGTAGTCCCCGAACGCACGGTTCACTTAGAGAATAAATAACTTTTAGGGACCGAAGCACAAGGAAGAATCAAGTTGTTTCTACTGAGTTGTCAATACCCGTAATTTTTCTTCACCTGATACAGGATATTAATTATTATTGTTAATTCATTTTATTGTCCTGTCTGAGTCTATGACTATGTAGGACGTGAAGGTCCTCTCTGCCTACAGGCCAAGGATACCTATACCAGTAGTATATCCCCTCCTATGACTCCCATACAGCTCCCCTCAAACAGTACCACCCCTCACAAGTCCTCATTCGATCATACACTTAGAGGAGCCCTTTGCCCTTCATCATCTCCTCTTTCCAGCCAACGAAACGATGGCCATTTGCAGGTGTATGGCAGCCGGGAAAAATCGCAAGAACCACTGGGTGCAGAGCTCTCCTAATACCGACATTAGGACTAAATCCGAAGACATAGTGACCCTCCTGAAGCGTTCGAAGAGGCCGGCCAGCTGGGCGCTGCAGACTTGTGGGTACCTCGGAGAATTCATACTCTACCTTTCTAGCCTCCTTCCAACTCCTTCCCGAAGGTTGTGCTGAAATGTCAGAAAAGTCTTGACAGAGCGTGATTGCTGTACGGTAGCTTAGCCCAACCTCTTTTGTGACGTCCAGGGCGCTGGGGAGTGCCGTTGACTCATCAACAATAGAGGCCCTCCTGGCTAATTAGCCGAAATCTCGGTCTTGGCGCCCACAAAAAATCCAAAGTTGAAAACTCCTCGAAAATGACGGTCCCAGCATGGTCTTCAGAGACCTCTTTCCCCTCTCACTCCACTTATCAGCCGCCTGTCCTTTCTCAAGATGCGAAGCCCCATTAGAGCAGCAGTCCCCCATAAACCAAGACCCCAACTTTGTATATTATGACTTAATTTCCTCCTTGCGGGTACACGTAGCGTCGTAAATTTGTAGTGAGTGATGGCCGGTGATAAATGAGGCAAGCTCCTGTTTGCAATTGGGGTGACGCCTCTATCGGTCGGCGAGGCGAGATGATATGTGGTTAGATCGGGGTTGAGGACTCAGAAGATAATGGTGAGTGCTGCATGGTTGAGAAGTCGTCAAATGGAGATATGCATGTGTTTGCTTTCGACTTCGATTCGGATGCGATTCTTCTTGGCTATCCCAGATATGCAGAGCATACTGAGCGATTACACCGGCACCACCAGAAGGTGAAGAATTCGTCTTTGCCGGCCCTGCTACAGGATAGGTTTCCCAGTTTCTTGATAAAGTGGCACTGTTGATTGTTAGATTTTTGGTCGAGCAATGCTCGCTCTCATAGATGATAAATGCCACAAAAACCGGTGTAGTAACAAATTTAGGCTTCAGAATATAACACTACTTTCTGCATTACATGACTAAAAGAATAACTAAATTCCACACTCTCGCAAATCAGTATTGCGACACCAACAGCTATTTCCTGCTCTTGAGACTCCCCATGTACCGGCCCAGGCAAGCGAGTCGGCCTCGGATTAACTATAACCTCTGCCGAGCACAATTTTTGGTATATGGTACATGTTACACACACTCTCATACATAAGATATGTGCTCAATAGACTTCGACCCATCCAAGGAATATCCAGATTGGCTGCACTGTTTAATAAATAGTTACCACTAAGAAGTTGTCGGAAGAGGGTACCTAAAATAACATCCCTGCCAACTATGACAGAGTCAAAGAGAGTATCTGATATTGAAGTATAACTCCTACAGCTAATGTTGATGGTTCTAACGCGTCGATTAGGACCAGAAAAGCATGGTGAAGCCCGCCCCGAAACTAGATGCCAAGAAGACAAAGCCTACGCGTAGCCCGAATCCTATGTGGAAGTATATGGGATTTGGGGAAAATTTCCAGCCCCGGCTACCCTCGCGAAACTGGATGATTTTTCTCTCACTCTCCGGGTCCTTTATAGCTGCAGTAGTCTACGACAAGAGAGAAAAAAAACGGCATCAGAGGAAATGGTGCAAACTGGTCGAGCATGTAGCTACGGAGCCCTTGCACCCTAGAGCCATGCCGCGCAAACTGTCGATTTTCCTAGAGGCCCCGCCAAGTGACGGCCTCCGAGTCGCACAAGATCATTTCAAAGAGTACGTCAAGCCAATCCTCGTCTCATCTGGCTTAGATTGGGAATTTGTACAGGGCCGAAAAGAGGGTGATATCCGTGCTGAGGTCGCAAGTCGGATCAGAAATGCTCGTACACATTCAGGCCGGATGACAGGTGACGATGACATAAGTCGACTACGCGCAAAGAATGGCATTGCGGACTTTGAAGGTCCTGCAGGAGATATAGTTATTGGACGGCATACTTGGAAAGAGTATGTCCGTGGTGTGCACGAAGGTTGGCTAGGACCTCTTACCAAGCCAGATACATCACCTATGGAAGAATCATTGCAACAGCAAACAGAAATTGACTCTATTAATTCCACACTTGATCCGTCTTCCGACTCAGAAACTACAATACATAAAACCTCGGACCAGGCAGCTCCAGCATCTGCCTCGCTCGTCAAAACAGACGAGGTTCAAACCACTCTACTACCACCTGCTGCCTTCATCCAACCCTGTTCTTATTCAAGCTCCTGTACCCCCTCCGAACTTCCCATCGAGCTAGATCCTTCAGTACCAATCCCACTTGTTCACATACTCGGCTTCCTCAATACCCCCAGACGCCTCTATAGATTTCTTAATCGACGTGCACTAGCCGATGAAATTGGTCGAGAGACTGCCGCTGTCGTTTTATCCAATTACCGACCTTATCACGTGAGCTCAGTAACTGACTTGTCTACACCTAGCCCATCAGATCAGATCTCGACTCAAGTTGATTCGGGTATAATGGAACATTCCACACAAATCGCCGAACAACAGTTAGCTCTTGAGGGTGAAGAAAAGGAGTGGCATAAATCGGTTTGGGTGCGTGCAGATGGCGAACCTGAGCGCACGTGGTTAGAACCAGTTAGACTTGACCCAAGGATTTCAAGTCGAATGCGCAGATTTGAGCTGAGTCAAGATGATGAATTAAGAGCTAAAAAAATCCATGTTCCCGAAGTAGAAATTGAAGGTTGGATTAAAGGTCGTGTAAGGAAAATTTGGGAGACTGGAAAAGCATTTTTTGTTTCTAGAGAGGCCTAAGTGTTTGATCAGAAACTACTCTAAAATCACTTAGCTCTCAAGCCTCAAGAGTCACCATCAAAGAAGAAAGCTGCACCACTTTGCTAGGATTGAGAGCTGCACGTTCATGTATATTATGTCTGTAGGATTTTGTCAATTGCAGATAAGGTTGGATAGGTTATATTATGTCTTGATCTAGACAAGAACTTATTCTTAAGGTATCCTGCCCGAGCACTCTTGACTCAATAACGAGTTATGATCACAGTATCGGTCCATGATGGTTTTGAAAGAGAGTTTTTCTACTAGGACTTTCTCGAAATCTTTACTAGTTTCCCCATTGGAACATATTATAAGAGCCTTCGTATCTATCACAAATTTAACTTTTATTTGTTTAATCTTTTCCGAACGATGCTTTAGGCCATTTTGATGAAGATTTTAACCTGAAGTTTTCTGACTCAGTGCTGTTCCATTGCTTCAACAACCTGAGTCCTTCTCTCGCTTCATCTAGTGTAATGGTAGGCAAATCAAGGATGGCAGCGAGATTTTTGTCGCAGGAATATTCTGGATCTTTGTCTAGGAGCTTTCTTGCCTTTAAAGCTGATATGACCTTACTAGCAAATTCCTTGTTCTTCTCAAAGTATTTATTATTAAAGTCACTGAGACTACAGTTGTCCAGCAAACATTCGAGCTCAGACTTTATTAATTCTGCTGACTTTGGTAGAAGCGAGCTCACATCATCGTCCACGGCGATTTTAAATCGCACGATTTGCTCATGGACCCTGGCATGGTCTTTATCAAGAGAGATGGTAGCCAGTAGGCACTTTAGAGCTAGCAAATACTTTTCTGAATACACATTTAGGCTTACAGTTGCACATAAAAGAGAGATCTCACTTACTTCGACGTATATATACTTCAAATGCAGCTAGCTGTACATCGATACCTTTGGATCTAAATTGAATTAAAGGCAACAAAAATTTCATTGCATCCTTCATTGGATCAGTCGAAGAGGCGAGCTTCGAGCCATCAGGATCATCATCCTTCTTAACCTCTTCTTTTCTTGCGGCTTTGGCTTTGTTTGGATCATTATTTTTGGATGCAGATTCGCGCTCAGCCTTTTTGAAATCCTTGTTTGACTTTTTGGAAGTCTTCTTATTTCCCACCGTAGAATTGTTCGCATTGGTGTCTCCATTAACACTTTTCCCCAGTCGTACATCGTGCATCTGGGTGTAAATATTAATCGCAGATAGGGCTGCCCTAGCATAAAATGGGTGCTCGCGCAACTTATTTTCCCACCTTATCATATCGATGTAGGCTCGTATTTGTCCTTTTCTGAGTGAAAAGCTGTGGAAATCGAACTGATCTTCTTGCCAAACATCGAATATATTGTAAACTGACGTAAAACGCTTGAGAGCTAGTCCAATATTTCCTTGGCGAGCGTATGATTCTCCATCTTCAGTCAGAAACCACATGCACTGCATATCGTAAAGATCGGCGAGAGGGCCTCCTGGGGTATCTGTACGAGTGAAGAGGCCTACAGTTTGAAGAGCTTTTTCAGACTCATCATTCCGAAGCTGGTACTTGGCCGCTTTCGTGTTGATATGTCGGTCCCGCACATCTAACAACCTTGCTTTTTCCATTATTTCAGCTGCCTTTTGGCTATTGCCATAATGTTTCCAGATTCGGGCCTTGGTCATACAGAAATCAACGCTAGTGGGATTAATCTCCATTGCCTTTTCAATGTATTCCATTGCTTTCTCTAGATCACGACTTAGATAGTAACTGTAGTGTTGAGCCAAGAAGTAGTAGATCGATGATTTGAGCCTAAGGAGAATAACTTGGTCCTTGAGATCTGTGTTACCTCCATCCTCACTGTGGGAAAGTAGCTGATGCGCCAATTCACCAAGGACTTCTTTCTTAAATAAGCTGGAGTAAAGATGCTTCAGATTCGCAAATGTAGAAGGAACTCCTTTGTTCAACATTCGATGAAGATACTGATCAGCAGCTTCCCGAAATTCCTCACCTGATTTTGCTGTTAGCGAAAATCAAGCGAGGCCGACAATCTAAACATACCCTCTAGAAAATCGAGTGGCAGGCGACGCGCAGCATCACATCGTGGATTTTTTTTAGCATACTCATCATATATAGATTTTCGGGCTTTTTGATCTAATGGATCAATTTCCATTACTTCTACAAGCTCATCATAGTATTTCTTGTACTCAGAGTTACGTTCTAGAAGAACGTGATAAGCTTTAGCTGCTTCTTCCCTTCTGCCGAGCCTGGCAAGGTACGATGCACGAAGCTCAAGTACCGCCAATCGATCAAGACTTGACTTATCCGCGGAGTTTAAGTGTTCCAAAGCTCTCTGTATATCTCCTTGCTCAAAAATCAAAAGGTTCTTGTACATCACAGCCTCCGAATTTTCGAAGTCATTCTTAGGCGGTGGGTTCTTCAGAGTATGTTCATAGGATGTTAACACTCGCTCTGCTTCGACAAGGTCTCCGTTCAGATGATGTGCAACCGCTAAAGCTGTCCAGTTTGCCCTCAAACCTGGCCTTGATTGCACCATTGATTTTCGACTAGCAATATAGCCCTGATAATCTCTCATCTGTATCTGCAATAGTGCCAGGTCGCGTTGAATTTGCTGAGATTCTGGCTCTAATCTCAGCGCAAACTTGTATGCCTTTATCGCTTCTTCGAAATTTTTGGCTGCGCGGTATAACAGCCCATAAACATGCCAGCAGACATGTGATTTCATGTCACATTGTAGAGCCACTTTTGCTAATGCAAAAGCTTCTTCAGTTTTGCCCTGTGAATTCAGGATAAGAGCTTTCATAGCGAGAGTGTCACCATGTTTAGGGTTTCTTCGTAATATCTGATCTGCTGCCTTGATTCCTGAGTGAAGTTAGCTTTTTGGTTGATCTGTGGATAAATCTTGAAGACCCTTTTTGTATTGTTTATCCTCATAATTGCGCACAACGGTACGGAAAAGCGATTGCTCTTTAGCACTCAGTTGTTGCGGCATTATTAATACTTTAAAACTACCCTCAAGGTTTCGTGAAGATTTTAATAATTTGACGTTGGGCTTTAATTGATAAATGTGACTCCTGCCCCTCTTGCAACCCTAAGCTCTCCTTGAATACATCTATATGCCTAGACTAGATTTTTGTGTTGTAATGGGCTGATTAATGTGGAGTGTTCAACCTGGCACACGGGGTTTTTCAAATTCTTCGCAACGCAGTGTGTCAAAATCTGATTAGATCTTAGGTGAGTTTGGTGCCTTATCCTAGGCCAGGATGAAATCAGTCCACTCCAAAGTTGACGTCCATTAATTAATTAGATAACGCCACCCTTACTCAACGAGAACCGCTTATGTAAGAATATATTTGAGTGACTAGTAAAGCCTGTTCTCACGTTTTAATTGACATATATGTCAAGGCTGTTGAGGAGTGGAGGGCGAAGGCTGAACACCTGTCAGTGGTGCCCTCTACGAACCTGGGAGTGAAATATTCTCCCAGAGCCAAGATTCAGTCTCGAAAAAGGTTAGGATGAATTTTGTTTGATGGATTTTTGACTTGAAGGGGTTGCAATCGATATTTTGGTCGATAAATAAGTCGGCAAAGATTTCACAGCCGGAACAAAGTTATACAAAAACCCATTACCACTAACATACGATTCACGAATGGATTTAAGTCTATTTGGAGGTCTTATTCAAACATCCGACTTCTCTCAAACTCCTCTTATATTTGCGACGAAGCATTTCTCAGTCGATCCTATACCTACGACCCACTTCTATACTCGTCACATCACCTACTTACGTACGCCCTAATGAGGAAAGTCATGATGGAAACAGGACGTGTACAAAGGAGGAGGAAAAGGGAAGATACACCGAGGGGATTACACAAATCCCTAATGACCACAACAACCCAACGGTACGATATGATGGTGCATGGCTAGAGCAACGATGAGATCTTGGACGGCATTTATATTTCGGAGACAATGAGGATGTCAAGGGCTCGGGCGCGTGGTGGCCGAGGCTGAGGAGGAAATTGCGCCACGGCGTGTATACAGCGGGTTTCAGGACGGTTAGGCTTGGTATGATTCAACACATAGGTGAAGTCTAAGGTGGTCCGGTCATTAAAGTGGGAAGAGGTTTATCTGTACTTCACGGTAATTAACCTGATCCGGCCCGACCCCACTCGTGCTTAAGCTCCAGTAGGAGTGCAACGGTAGTCATGTAACCTAGCACGTTAATGAACAAAAAAAAACTGTAGAGGAGTAGAATTTAGTTATACAAATTATCAGTTTGTCACTCACGTGATATGTGTCATCTGACTCATTTGTTCGGGTACTATTGATTGATTGATTGATTTTATTTTTAGGTCCTAAGCTAAGCTCTATATCTCCTAGGAGTCAAAGACCGGTGTACACGGCCGAGATCATGCTTCCCACATACCCGACTCGGTCTCACCGCGTGACTCACTACACAAAAAGTAGCTAGTTATAATAAAGAAAATAAATGCCCACACAGACTCCCATAACCAAAATTCCAAATCCCATACTCCTGTTTGTGGTTGGAAACTGACACTTCTGGTCTCATTTTCCTACCTGCCATACATCGTGCTATGACTAATTGCCACCGTCTCCGCTGAGAGCTGGAGACGGAGTCGCAGGTGGGCCCCCGAAGCAGCCGGTTTCCTGCGCAAATTTTGTAAAGTTCTCGAGACACTTAGGCCCGAGAAGCTTGTGGACAAAGTCGTGATGTGACATTGTACCTCGTAGTCGACGCGTCTGGCGTGCGTGCAGTCGACAGTGAATGAAGTGGAGAGGCGTTGTTTCCTCTCCACACGCACACTCCATGGAAGCGGCGAAGTTGTTGAAACGACGATGGCATGCGGCGAAGTTTCCGTGTCCCGTGCGGGCTGAGATCAGTTTACGAAGTAGCCGCCGGGAAAGTGCCAGCTCGCGTGGCTTGCGTCGTCGCATGAGAAGACCCAGGTTACGATATCTAGGTGGACACGCTTCTTCCCACCAGTCGTCAAGAAGCATTTGCCTGTTCCGGTTCATGAGCCGACGAACGTACGCCAACGTGACGGAGCCAGGCTGGCTCTCTTTACTTGGCAGTTGTCGGAGGCCGGAGCGTGCAGCTCTATCGGCCTCTTCGTTTCCCTGTATCCCGGAGTGGGCTGGTATCCACTGGACCGAGACTCGAGCCTTTTCTGATAACGCTCTAAATTGGCGCACGTCGTCGAAACTTGTTGTGGCAGTTCCCGTCAGCAGTGCCTTCACTGTAGACTGACTATCCGTCAACACGTTGATCCGCCGCCTGCCGTCGCTTCCACTATTCTCCCTCTCCAACAATCCCAGCGCAGCTTCCAGGGCCTTCCTCGCCCCTAGTATTTCCGCATCGAGCACTTCACCACCATGCTTGATACCGCATCCCTTCAACAGAGTTTTTCCATCTCTCTTCAAGACGAACCCCCATGCTGAGCGACCATGTCCCTCCGACGATCCATCCGGGTAAGCACAAATATCCGATGCTAGTACTTCTCCAAGGAACCGAGTAGCCTTTTCCTCCTCCTCCTTCCTTGGGCCAGAGCTCGAAGAATAGCATGGCGGCGGCAGAGGCTCGGCGTCTTCCGCGTCCGGGAGTTGACGGTAGGCCCGCTGTACTCGTGACATCTGGATCCCCGGATTCTTGGGTACCCGAGCAGACTTCTTGTACTTCCGTGTTCCAACGTTTGGACACACGGCGGCACGAGTCCGGAGCGGATGTCGGTTGTCTAGTGAGTGCAGTCGAGCCGAAAGCCGTAAGCGGTTCCCTTCCAGAATGATCTTTCCAGTTGGGATACCTCCTTCGCGATGGAGAACAAGATTCGATGTCGTTCTCATTACCGGGAGGGCAGCGCGCAGTCCTGTCAAGATTGCCTTGTCAATCATCTCGCAGAAGATGCTGGTTCGAGGTGTGATGATTCCCCTAATGGTCGGGCGTTTGAGGCCGGGCCACCAAACATCTGATCCAAAAGTTGCTATTGGGACAATACAAGTATCCACTGCTGGAACCAGTGCCGCAGGAGCGGCTCCTCGATACGCTGAGTTGAAACGGCGCATATGCTGGGCAACCTTCAATGCCTTTACACACCAAGTTGTGACGTGGTGTTTAAAGTCCAGTCGCGGGTCTAGGTGTATTCCAAGCCAGCGTATTTGGTCTGCTGGCTCGATAACCACGCCGTTCACACGAATAGCCACCGGATTCTCGCGTTTCCTGCCGGGAAACTGGACTATCTCCGACTTGTTAGTATCGAAGGAGACTGCATTGTTACTTGCCCACTCCAGAAGATGATCCACTTCCTTCTGTACAGAAGCGGCCGACTCAGCAATGTTGCGCCCGAACCCTAGGATCCCGACATCGTCTGCGTAGCTGAACCTCATTCCTGGGTTGCCGCTTCGCATAGGCTCTGCCATGTATAAAAGGAAGAGAAGTGGCGATATTGGTGATCCCTGCGGAACCCCACAAACCAGCTCTCTCTGCCCGGTTACCCCTCCGGAGTATCGGACTTGTACCTTTCGATGTGCAAGAAATGAAGCCGTCCATCGGAGAATTGAGTCCGGCCATCCCTGATCTCGCATCCTCCTCACCAAACGGTTGTGGAGTACTGCATCGAACGCTCCTTGGACGTCTAGAGTCGTGAATGTGGCCGCCCATCCCTGGGTGCTTGCCTCTTCGATGTCGTGGACTACGCAGTTGACGAGGTCGTTTGCAGATCTTTTGGGGAGCGCGCCGAATTGTTGGTCTCCGACAACGTTGAGTGTAACCGCGAGATGGGCCATCCGCTTCGCCAAGAGTCGTTCCAATCCCTTACCCAAACATGACAGAAGTGCGATCGGTCTCCAGCCCTTAACAGTCGCTGGATCTCGGTTCGTCTTGCGGAGGAGCACCACTTCAGCCAGCTTGAAGCAGGATGGGTGGGTACCGAGTCTGATGCAGGCGCGGAAGAGAGTGCCGACAAATGGTCTAATCGTCTTCCAACAGGTTCGCAGAAGCTCCACAGAGATCCCGTCTGCTCCAGGCGCTGTGTTGGCGCAGCCTATAGTGCACATGCGAATCTCCTCGTCCGAGACATGGTCGTTCCAGGGGATTCGGTTGGTACTCGGCGCATCGAGTGGCGGTAGGTCGTCCGTCGCTTGGTGTCGTGCCAGAAGAGCATCCCGGAGTACCGCTGCTCGCTCGGCCGGATCGGAGTACACCTTCCCTTCGTGGTTAAGTGGAGGGGGGGTGCTTGCCTGCCTTGGTTCGGCCGAGCGCATCAGCTTGAACACATCAGTTGGTGTCGTGATCGCTTCGACTTGACGCGTCTGGTACCCTTTCCTTGCCGCTCTGAGGGTTGAGCGCAGCTTCTTCGAATGTATCCATCGCTGTTCCGGAGTCACTGCTGCACGATATTCCGTGTGAGCCAGCTTGCATTCCGGAGTCCACCAAGGCGCACATTTGCCGTGTCTTTTGTTCCTTCGTGTTCCTGCTGCTTTGAAAGCGTTAGTAAGGCCGGAACAGAGATTGTTGGCGTATTCATCCACCTGGCAAACCGAGTCCAACACTGGTGGCGGGTGAGTGAATTGCGCCACGGCAAGGGAGAATCTCGGAAAGTTTCCGCGCGTTACCCTAATCGGCGATGGCTCCTGGTCCCATTTTCCGCATCCGGTGGGGACTTGTCCTCGAATCGGAAGATGGTCGCTGGTTATACACTCGCTGCGACCCACCCATGCTTGGGCCCCGTTGATGTTGGTCCAGGCAAGATCCAGCGTGTTTCCGGCTCGATGCGTTGGCTGGCCCACAATCAGACAAGTGAGATTATGGCGTTCCGCCCATCTCTCAATTTCGATTCCTTGTCCGCGTGGGCGGGCAGCATCTGGTTGCCATGCGCGGTGCACCGCGTTGAAGTCACCAGCCGCGACAGATCGTGGTGGTGGGTCCCAGCTGAGGAGTGGTCGAATGGCCGTCGGGTCGTTCGGGTCCTTGTACACGTT